CAGTCAGTCCCAAATCGTATCCCACTAAGTGTAAAATTAGAAAACAAGACCAGTATCATTAGATTCGTCTTTTCAAGACGATTCTAATGATACCATCGCGCCAAATTTATATAAACTGTGCAAGGTTGTGTTTGAAGAAAACTAGAAAAAATAGCGAGTACAAAAATCTGGGATATCTCACTCAAATCTTAATGAAATTGAAAATTATAAAGAGCACGAGGATCAGAAGGTACAAAGAGTAGATTAGTCTTTTATTTAGATCAATTTGGTCAAGAAATCTACCTGAACAAAATAGTGAGAAGTTGCTCTAAAACTGGACTTCTGTAGATCAATATAGGTCACGATTCTTGAGGATAATTGTATGGTTAGCTTCAGAGAAGTTCAATGAAGCTAACTGAATGGAGCTTTTGGTGTTTGAAAGTGAGAATGTAAGAAATCGGAAATTCAAATTCAGAGTTCGTATGGGATCTGAATAGGGGTCAATTAGCTATCAAAAGCTTGTGAAAATAAGTGGGATATGAATCTTATTTATAGGAGAGGATGAAGCAATACTTAAGCGTGCAAATGAGGGGGTAATTGAGTGAGTTCGTATGGACTTGCAACATGAGGAATGTGTGACTTATTTTGCACCAAAACTCAGCCAAATCATGTGTTTTATGATGCTAAACGCTTTTGGAAAGTTACTAAACATGATTAGAAGAAAAACGCGCGTAAACTTGGTGATTAGAAGTCATATTTGTGAATTTCCAATTCTGACTTAGGAGGAAACTTAGGTTTCAAGATACCATTTTTGAACCAATTACATTTTCAATTCAAGGGGTCTTAGAGCATGATTCTTGAAGCTTTAGAAAGAGGAAGTTACAAGCTTTACAATGTGCAAAGAATGGATCTAAATGGATGCTTGAGCAAGAAGTTGTGCTGAGTCAAAGTTGGAAAAAAGAGGCTGACTTTTTATACATAGAAAAATTTCAAATTTTTCTTCAAAAGTGACCTATAATGTTTTGAGCTCAAACAAGACTTTCCTCCAAAATTTTGCCTTAATCAATGATGCTAGCTTGAAATAGACTTCTTAAAGAGCATTGTGGAACTTGAATCACTCAAAAATACCAAATAAAAAGTTATGGTCTTGCAAAATTTGTGAAAATTCATGAGATGACTTATGATTTTTTACATCTTTGAGGCATATTCCATCCATTTTCAAGCTTTGCAAACAAAGGAAATTTGAAGTTCACCTCCTTAAGATCATTATGAAAAAAAATAGACTCAATGGTATAAAAATTGGTCAAGTTATAATCATTTGAAGTCACACAAGAAAAATTGAGAGTTCATCTGAAGGACTTGTAGTCTTTCTTCACCATCAAGTTTCTTCCACACAAAATTTCCTTGAAACTTTTGAAGTGATTTATTAAAAACTCTTTGAAGAAAATGATGTCTTTGGAATCATTCAAAAATGCCAAAATATGACTAAGATATACCCCTTTGAAGTTCAAAATCCTAACTCCTGGAACAAGAAAATGCTTTGGGAAACCTTTGCAATTTTGACCAACCTTCTTGCACAAATACCTTTGTTATGTGATTATAAGTTGTTGAGGATGATAAGGAGAAACCATTGCAACCAAAACCACTTCCAAATCTTGGGAAACGAAGGAGATATGTACTTGTGATCATTGAAATCAAAGACTTGTACATTTGAGTCAAACTTCTTCAATCAACCCTTGTACTTTTGAACTAAATTTGACAACTTGAGTCATGATGAATCATAAAATACTTTGTCATGATATTACTTCAAAACATCTTTAATGATGAGGTTTGAGCCTTAATGAAGCTTTGTTGAGGAATGCGCATAAATAAACTCATGAATCCCTAAATCAATCTTGATGAAATGCATTGTGCTTTCATCTACAACATCAACAATTGGGGCAAACACTCATTTCATTTATTAGTTAAAAAATAATCAATACAAAACATAAATGATCATAAAATACAAGTTAATGTGCTTGGTGATTTCTCCTGGAACAAAAACTAAAGATAGAGAGAAGAACCAAATTCTAATGTGACCTTGTTGGGATTGAATTGAGATGATATGATGAAAGGATCTTATGGGCAAAAATTAGAGTACAACAAGAGGTCTTTTACAGTTATTTCAACAGCCTCCGCTTTTTCAGGAGACTGCATACACCTACGTTGCACTACTGCAGTGAATCCCCAGCCAGATATGACCATGGAGGAGGGAAACTTCTCCCATCTGTTGTGGGTGAACAAAGGCTCATCATCTTCAAGAATGTCAAAGATGTGGAAGTCCTCGGACCTTGAGACGTAGAAGGCTACCTGAAGGGGGCTAGAGTCATCGGATGATCGGACATCCTCCCAAATTTCTTTAACCTCGCAGGTGTCCCGACGAGGGACATCGTTCCTCTTGTACTGAACAAGTCTCCCTGCCTTGATGGGAGTCTCGATGGTATCCTTCAGGTGGCCGCAGTCTTCGATCAGGTGATCGTGGCTCCAGTGATACTGACAGTACTTTGTTCTGTCGGCCCCGGGCTTTACAGGAGTGGGTCGAGGACGCCTGACTTCATTGTCCTTGAACTCAGCATTGGAGCACTCTCCAAGGATACGCTCGTGGAAAACAGTCAACGGGATGTATTTGATTAACGATTAACCGCTCAACTGGTCCTCTGTGCTCGCGAGGGTCGCGAGGTTTCTCCTCCCTTCTCTTCTCCCATGTTCGTCCAGAAGAGTCCGCGTCACTGTGTCGCAGGACGTTAGTTGGTCCGCAGTTCCTCGAATCACAGGCGTTGTTAGCGGCCTTTTTCCCGGACTTTTTCGAGGAGTGCATCAAAAGACCTGAGAGGCTCAATGCCGACGACCTTTCTAAATTCAGTGCCTAGGAGGAGTCTCATCTCGACAAGTATCTTTCAAGTGATCGACGCAGGGGACCTGAAAGGCCTCGCGGTTGAACCGATCAATATATTCTCTGAGGATCTCATCGCTCCTCTGGACGATTGTCTCAAGGGTGACCTCAGCCTTTGGGTGCCAACAAGATGTAGTGAAGTTGTTGATGAATTAGTTCTTCAGATTCATCCACGAGGTGATCGACTCGGGGGTAGACTCTTATACCAGTCCATAGTTTTTTTCCTCAGCGTCGTGGAAAATACTCTGCATTTAATGGAGTCCCGACGTTGTGATAGTGAAGCATGGCTTGAAGCCATCGATGTGGTCGACGAGATCAGCAATGTCGTCATATTCCTTCAAGAGGGATGATGGCCTGGGACAGCGGACCGCGGGGGTCGTCTTTGTCGCTTCTTCCTGTGGAGCGAGAGGGAGACCGATAATAGCGACAGTCTTTGTCAGTCTTGGTCCCAGGGAGGGTTCCTCGACCGAGACTTCTCTTTTTCGCCTTTGTTTCTTTTTTGTTCATGGGACCGTCGTTCTTTGCGCAGAGGGATGTGACTGCGCTTCTTGACAGCTTCGGCTGGGTCCTCTCCAATGCAGGACCTCGCCCAGTACGGCGGAGAGTTGGGCTTTGAGAATCATCCTGTCTATGCCTCCGTGGGGGAGATCGGGAGCGGTCCTCGTTTCGTCAGGGAGAAGGAGTTCGAGAATCAGGTCTTCGATACTTTCTGAAGGACCGACGAGTCTATTCCAGCATCATCAGGCGCTCACCCTGCACGAAGATCATGTAATCCATCTGGTTGATCTCCGTGAACAGGGCTTTGGTCGTGACTTTAGCATTTTCGGGAACAAGAATCTCCTGATACGCAACCCACTCGTAATTATGTCGAAGATGATAGACGTCGTCGCGTGATTGGAAGCGGGTGGAGGAAGATGCGGTCATCCCGTCCCGGGAGTCTTGCTCGGGAGCGGCATCATTGTTATTGTTGCTTGCGTTGTTGTTGTCGTCGGGAAGTGAACGTTCTGGCATTGTTGATAGTTTGGTCAGCCCTGACAATCAAAAGGTTGAGAGTTGCTTTGGTCTTGAATGAAAGACAGGAAAGTTGATTCCCACAGACGGCGCCATTGATCGTACGTGATCAGAAGAGATCGTCAAGACTCACGAACATCGAGTTGAGTAACGATTGAATGCGAAATAGGAAATACCTGCAAGATACTCTGATGCCAAAATAAGAGTCTAGACAATCAGAGTGCGAGTAACAGAAGTGAGATAGAATGAGTGAATAAATGGATATTTGACCCTCTCAAGTGAGAGAGTATTTATAGTCTCCAGCATTGGGTCAAAATCCATGTAATAGACCAAACAATTTGGACACAATAACGTGGGCTATCAGAGTTTACGCGGGTAATAAGATTCAGCACGTGGCCCCCTCCATGACAAAGCGCCCCAAAAATATAAAGATAGTGGACTCGTTATTCTCAAAAGACAGGTGGTGGTTGATGATGACTAGGAACACCTCTGACACGTGAGAAACAACGACTATCAATCTTGAGCCCAAAGCTATTGGAGCGCTAGACCGGACCATCTCCATTGGTGGGACAAGTGTCAGTCCAAAACACATAAAATGACAAGGGACACATATGGTGTCCAATTTTTTAGTGTACAAATATCAATTCTCTTGTTTTATTTGTGACATAGAATAGAATAGATAGACACAAATGTTAATATGAGCTATAAATTTAAAAAGTATATCCTATTAAAAAATCTTATTAATTCATCATTTATACCCATCTCTAATAAATGAACAACAAATAGAGCAAATTTAGATTCCATTTTTGGCACACAAACATATTACCCTTAATTTAGCATGATAACCTCTTGTTAAGCACTACTCTGCCCTTTGGAAATCAATTGTAGTAACAACAAAACATAATATACTTCGTTTAACCATTATCTAAGCGGTGCGCACAGGTGTAGACTACGTGAAAAGGGTGTACACAGCAAGAGCAAGGGCAAAAAAATTGAGTTATATGGACACATACATCCTAAATGGATTTGGGCAAGGATGTACTAGTCAAAAGCAGTAAGTAACATACAAAGCAAACAATCATTTTGCTTCTCCCTCATGCTGCATAAACGGCCACTTGGAACTACAGATGTCACGCGAAGAACTGCCATCGTTGTCTTTTGAATTGATGTCTGCACTATGTTTCACTAAGTATTCAGCTATGGCTTCTCTCTCACATGTTACCGCGTAGTGCAGTGGAGTTTGTCCATCATTATCCTTCAAAATATAAATCATAAGAGCAGAAAGCAGCAAATCTGAATTTGACAGTGTCAATATATACAGAAAATCATATCCAACTTATGAAGTGAGGAATAATCAAAAATCCAATTATGGCTCCATCCTGTTTTCATACTAAAGAGTTACAGTAAAGCCAAAAGAACATAGGAAAAGCTAGTGAAGGGCTCATAAGTACATATATTGATATGAATACCTTGGCATTTACATCGGCATTCCTACCGAGCAGAAGCTCTGTGACATCAAGGTGGCCACGATCCACAGCCCAGTGTAATGGTGTCCGGCCTTCACTGTCTGAATATATTAAGAAAATGCATGTTGTTGAAGAAAAGGAAAAGCAATAATAATATTCTAAAGAAAATAATTATTCGATACCTATGTAGCATGAGACATAAAAATCAATCACAATAAGAATGCAGAAGATTCATCAAGAAAGATAAACACTTTTAACTACAATCCAAATATAGTTTGACGTAATGACAAATCTTTATGATATCTATATGCAAAAGATGATAAAGAACTTCCAAATTAGTAGAGATCTAGGACTACAAGATTCATTATCTCACGCCACATTAGCAATTCAACTTTTTACTATAAACTTAACTTCATTTATAAATTTAACTTGTAAATAATTTCTTACAAAATCAACCATTTCTTAAGGGAAGATATATGGTATGATTATAGCTACTTACTATACATCAAAATTTCCCATTTTTAAAGCGTCGATGGTGAATCAGGGGTGTAGGAGAGATCGAGTGGGAGTGAAGCTAAAATGGAAATTTGACGCGAGGCAAAACAGATTCTTTACAGCTAATTTTTTATAACTGAAATGAAACAGAAAGCATGGCCAACAAGATCGATTCAATTTAATGTCAATTCACATATGGATGTGATTATTGATGAAATGAAGATCCATGCTCGGTGGTGAATTAAAGAAAAAGGTGAAGGGCTTGGACTATAACTTAAATTCTTAGGGCTTTGACTATATCTTTGGTGGATCAATCTTGTTTAAGTGCCTTGGTGGACCACTAGACTTATTTTGTAATTTTTTTGTTCTCTTTAATATATTTATATTTTTTGGCTGTTTAAAAAAATGCCAATTCAGTTATCCATCAACATTCTATCTTCAAATAGGCATTTAAGCCAATTAATGAGGCTTTTTGAGAAAGACATGGCACCTAACATAGTTGTTAAACAATTCCAAGACACTGGAGCATGCATATGATTGTGTTAGGGTTTAAGGTTTGTCATGCAATACCGCTAAAATTCCAGTTTATGATGTCATACTAAAATCAATGGTTTGCATTGAATAAAAGCTGTTAATGAGGGACTTTCTCTATTTTAAAACCAAAAGACAGAAGATATAAAACAATATTGACAACCTGCAGCACACCGGAGAATAATGTACACACTTGGAAAGCAAATATCTAAATAACTCACCCTTCAAATTCACTGAAACGCCACTTTCAACACACTTGAGTAGATTGGTCATATCTCCCTCTCTAGCAAATCCGTGAATGGCATCCATTTTCCTGTAAAGGAAGATAATGAAACACCAATACCTATCAATATTTTGTTCTCCCAAGAAACTGTAACCTTTTGAAGAAGAATCATACGTATAGGTGAGAATTCGTTGTTAAGTGTAAAAAAAGGCAACGCAAAAGGAGGAGGACAAGAGACACGCAATGAAATAGATTAATAAGAGGATGCGTACTAGTTTTATCAAGCATTTTTAGCATCTCCAAAGGGATCTCTTGGTTCATAGGGTAAAGGAATAAAGTCTGACCAATATTGATATTTTAACATATCCATAATTTGTTATGCATGTAAACTGAGTATAATGTTCTCACCAACAATTTAGAATGTCCTATTTTACCCCCTATCATGAAAAAACTTAGAAACTTTAGAGTTGACAATACAAGAAACTATACAAACTCTAATACGAAAATTAGTCACACCACTCCATAAAAAAAAATATTGAATTAATCAAATTACAGAAGGTTGTCTTAACCCCTGGAACCCAAAAACAATATTATCCTTGCTATGTTAAAGTAAGGATTTGATTTGTAATGTTTCAAATCGACAAGGCCTAAATTTGATCGGGGTAAAAAAACTGAAAGTAACATTTTAAGTTGAAGAAAAGATAAAGAAGCAACAGACTATGAACCAAGCAGTCTCATGAAAAGCAGAAAAATGTGTGTTCATGTTACCCAAATGCAGTCTGTTTTTTTTAAATAATTAATAAATTATAGATGATAAAGGTATAATATATAACTATCCAAGATAAGAGAGAAACTCTGGAGGATCACATCAGAGCCTTCAGAGTAAATACTGCAAGCAAAGACAAGATTAAAGAAGGGGAGAGGAGCCTTTGTACATGGAGAGAGAATTAATCTCACTCCAGGCCTTTGTACATGGAGCGAGAATTAGTGTCACTCCAGGCCTTTGTACATGGAGCAAGAATTAGTGTCACTCCAGATAGATTCGAAGACCTCCTAACAAAGTACCAAAAAAAGAGCAGAGGAGCCTTTGTACATGCAGTGAGAATTTGCTCTAGATAGATTAGAACCAAAAAAGGTTAAAGAATCATAACTACTAGAATTACCACTTCAAGCCATCCCTCCATTCTAATTACTAGAAAAAACATTGAGAAAACATCAAGGCAAGTACATTTAATTCATAACAAATTAGTAACATGAGGCCATCTACAGTAGATATTCTAATTACTGGAAAAACACAGTGAAAACATCCAGGCAATTACACGTGGCTATCTACCGTAGATATTCTAATTACTGGAAAAACATAGAGAAAACATCAAGGCAATTACATTTAATTCATAACAAGAAAATAACGCGTGACCATCTATAGTAGATATTCTAATCACGGTAAAAACATTGAGAAAAATCAAGGCAATTACATTTAATTCATAGCAAATTAGTAATGTGTGGCATCTACAATAGATATATGCACAAAAATCGATATATAGTTTGAGTTTTACAAAATCTTACGATTCACCGCTACATTGCTCTTCATAAACAAAAGAGCTGAATACTGGTCCCATTGGTCCCCGAGCCTCTGAACTAGGGCCACCACTATCACCGGTTTTGCTTCTCTGTCACAGACACAACAAGGATTAAGTAGTTGGAGACTGGATAAAAAAAATAACACACAAAGACACACATAACTAATGTAAGCAGTAAACATACTACTTTCATTTCAAATCTAACAAAAGAAACCGTTATTCATCCATTTAGAACACAAGAACCAGTTTACTAGCTCACCAAAGGTGCACCATCAAGCCAAGTAGGATATAGCTCAGACACAATATCAATATACTTCTGCATTGCATCTTCCGGAGGCATAGCACCCAATTTCTGCCACGCTTGCCTACAAAAGGTTGAAGAAATTATTAGCATCTAACCAAAACAGTTAACAAAATCACATAAGAATTTAAAAAATATCCCAACATTACTAGCCTCCCAAATTTGAGTTAATACCATAATTACATCTAAAATAAGCATAAAACAGTAACATAGACAGAAAAAAACATTGTTATTAAAATTCATAAACCAGCACAAACAAAAGATTCCAAATATATGTTATGTCGCGTACAGTTAAACCTTTTTCCTTTATTTTGTCGTCTATAAGATTCATACACTCAAACAGAACAGTTTAAGAGAAAGCAAGTGCTATAATTCATACCATTTGGAACGAGCTGTCATTTTGAGGGGAGAAGGCTGAGGCGTACTACACGGACCTTCAGTGGCAATTTTATACAATCCATAAAGCTGAAGCTGAATATCATTCGAAACCTTCTGAGATAAACGATCGGCGGCGGCGGCAGCAACAAAAGCAGTAGCGGCACTGAAAGCTTCATCCAACTCAGTACTCTCGACACCTTCCCAATCGTCGTCATCATAGTCATCGTCGCCACCGTCAACGCTTTCGTTTCTGACGCTACCTTGCTCAGCCATGACCGACTCACGTTCAGCTTCGATGCGGTGGCCGGTGTCTGAAACAGCGTCGTCGTGTTTGGAAGCGTCATCGGCGGTGGTGGTAGGGTTAGTGTTGCGGGTGATTGTTAGGTTTTCGTTGTTGAATGAAACGACGATGGATATGAGTTTAGCGAGGAAGTAAGAGAAAATGAGACCGAGGAAGATGGATTGGAGAAGAGATTGCCAATCATGCCACTCACCCATGGTTGTGAATGAAAGAAAAGTGAAACCCTAGAAAAATATTGGGATTCAGAAATTATAACCTAGGTTTTAAGGAAATTGTGTGTGTGAAGTAAAACCCTGTTTGTGTTGTTAATTAGAGTAAAGGCTAAAGGGTTGAAAATAAGACAGGATTGTGAATGGAATTTCGATCAAGGTGGGAGAAGAACTGACGCAAGACAGAATTGGTGTGGTGTTCGCGCCCGAGGTAGTTATCTGGTGTGGGTTCTAGAGAAACGCCATCAACACGTGGAAGAACGACTTCATTAATTTACGATAATATTGTTCATCAGCGGTGATGTCACGGAAAGTTTGTTTCGTTCATCATTTATTATTCTTGAAAAATCCACCAACTTACGAGTATATTCGTTCCAATTATATGCATTCTACCCATTTTCATCTTTTTATCTTCATAATATTTAATGTATATAAATTAAGAGTAATGTTACTTGGAAATCCAAATTAATCTACCATGAATTTCTATCAATTTTAATGAATAAGATTGTTATTATCATATAATAACAATGAATTATATGAAATAAATATAATTATTTTTTTTAGAGTTTTTCTATGCTCACGAATTTTGTTATTCACTTGTGTGATGCGGTGGAATAACTGACTTAAGGTTTTGCGTTTGTGTTCGTAAATGTTGCGGTTTAGCAAGAGTCGTCATCGACTTTTATTCGCAAATGTTGCGGTTTAGCAAGAGTCGCCATCGACTTTTATTTTATCCAAAAGGAAAGGTAAAAAAGCACAGGAAAGACTTTTGAGATTGTTATTGGGTTCGAGGGTAGATTATGAAAAGGGAAGGTGCTAGCACCATTTTCATACATGGTTTTCCATGGGCTCTTAGTTACTTGTTTTAGATCACTTGTTTTTACTTTTCAATTGTTTGAAATGGTGTTTTGTGTGGTTTTGAAAGTATTTTGAAAAGAGGCATTTGTCTAGGCAACCTTTGTAACGATTCTTGTTTGAATATATACAAAGGTGTTTGTCTTTTGAAAAATGTTTCAATGTTGGAAAGTTTGTTGGGAAATGTTTTGAAATTGTTGTGTGATTTTTGAAAATAGCAAGGATGGTTTGCAAGTTTGATCAAGTAACTAGGAGTTGTCTACCCTACTCAAAGATCTTTCCTACACATTTTTATTCCTTTGATATTGTTGTTTTACCATTGTATTTGGTAAACAACCATATCTTTGGATATTAAACGGGACGGGCGTGGGTCATCGTATGACCATGATAACAATATTGCCAAATATCTTAGCAAGTTTTTGAGGGACTAGATCATTTTTGTATAGGCAACCAAGATAGCGTCATCGAGGGACTGTGATATTTTTGTTTTGTTTTTGTTTTGCCAAGATACCTAGCATGCATACCATGGCCATGTTTTTAAGGCAACAAGTGGATGAAACCAAGATAGCGTCATCGAGGGGTGCTTGTGTGCAAGGTGTTGTCATTTTTCATGCATTTTTGTCTTGTATTTAAGTCATGCTATTTGTTTGATTTTGGTCTTTGCATACAAAACCTTAATCTTACTATCATGCATATAAAAGCAATAAAATGCGTAAAAGTAAATCTAAAACTATTACAACATTATTATGGGGAGGGGGATACAAGTTTGAATAGGGGGATATTTGCACAAAATAAAAACCCTAAAACTATTATTACAACCAAATTGAAATATTGCACAAATGAATAAATAAGCAAATACTTAAATATGCAAATAAATATAAATATGCAAAATGTTTTTGTATTTATTTTTATGTATGTAAAAATAAGTTTATTTAACTCAAAATAAAAAAAATATTAATGATTATTTTTGAAAGGGTGAAAACCCTAGTTTTTGGTTTTTAAAAGAAAATATATTATATTATTTATTTATTCATTTTTATGTACAAAATAATAAATAAAAATATATACAAAGATGTTAAAAAATAAAATATGTGAGAAAATAATATTTTAAGTGTATAATATAATAAAATAAAAATATGTAAGTATTTTAATATTATTTACAAGTTTTAATTAAGAAAATAAAGTAATATTAATCTAATAATTATTTATTATGCAAATAAAAATAAAATAAAAATATGATAAAATGCCAAAAATAAAGAAAATATTTTTTGTGATTTTAAATGTTCAAGAAAAAATAATAAAGTCAGAAAATAAAAATAGAAATGAAAAATATGCAAAAATAAAGAAAATGGGCCAGGGGGTGCAAATAGCACAATGGAGGGTGCAAACAGCAAGGCAAGCCAGGCCCGGCCCAAACTTCCACTTCATCCATGTCCTTTGAACCAGAAAACGTGCGCGCCATGTACAAACTTGTAACTCCTGCATACATGCTTAAAAACAAAATCTTGCAACATGAAAGTTATAGCTCATCATCACACGATTCTAATGATATAAAAAACTTGATCTAACTCTCAAAGACCAGAGAGAATTTCATTGGTCCTAAATTCTGACCTAGTTTTTTTAGCATGTTCATCATCCAAATTCTCCTAGCTCAGTTAATATAAATACAAGTTATGCATATGTACAGCTCAAGGACATTAAGGACTACATTTTTGCTTCACAAACCTAAGCCTAATAATGTCTAAATAAGGAGATAGAAAGTTGACAAATACCCGTTTCAGTCAAGTTCGAATATGGCAATGTAGGAGTTGTGAGTGAGGCCTGAAGGTCTTTTGAGCTTGCTTGAAGTTGTCTCAACCTTTCCCAATACTTTGCTTGCTTTGAAGTGGCTTGAATCTCCCTATAGAACTCAACCTGCAAACTCAAAAATTGAAAATGGTGAAGCTTGAAAATGGAGTTACAGTTGCTTGAGAAGGGCTTGGGTAGCTTGGATGGGATGTATGCAATGTGTCTGAAGTGGTTTGGGACAAAACGCACGAGTGGAATTTGTTTTGGAAGTGGTTCTGCAGGACTTGTCGTGTTTTAGGCAGAAATGGAGTTTTTGGTGTATTTGGGTGTTTTAGATGCTATGAGCTCGTGTTTTTGGCTTGGTATATTATGTTGAACTTGTTTGAAATGTTCACCAGACTTGCTCTTATCAGATTTCCAAGTTGTCTTAACTTTTGCACAATTGCTTGTTTTTGAAGAAAAGGTAGGAAGTGACAATGCTCAAGTTGTACAAGCTAGCTCAAAGTCTGCATAGGGTTGGTGAGCTTTTCCTGATGTTTGTGGAGTTGTTTGCAGCAAAAGCTTTGGTCCATGGCTCAAGATAAACAAAGTTTGCATAAAGTGTGCTTTATGGAAATGACATTGTTATCTTTATGCCATAAATGGAATAAACTCTTGTATAATGCTCTAAAGCTCAGAATCAAACCTTTGTCCAATGTATTTGCATTTAATTAAGGAGTGTGGAAAGGTTTAAGACCTTTAAAACAAGTACAAGCATGTTTTGGACAGATTTTCAAGTTGTAGCAATGTGCAAAATGCCTTGGACAAAAGTGATAATTTTCCATTTTCAAACTTTCGATTCTCCCTAACCACAAATGATCTTGGAGAGTTATTGGACATTTTGGAAAGCTTGTAACATGCTCTACAATCCATCTTTGAAATGAATTTTGAGATTCCAATTTTAACTATGTGAAAAAATGCCATGAAGATAGGTCAAAATTCTGCCTAAATTAGGGCAAAATTTCACTAAGTTAAAGTTTTATGGACCCTTATTCACAAAATCATAACTTGAGATCCAAGCATCTTTTTGGAAAACTTTGTGAATCAAAGTTGTAGATTTTGTGGAGGACTACAACTTTCATGTTTGAAGTTTTCTTTTAATCCAATTGCATCATGGTGAAAAAGTTGGGAAAAGTTGGGGAAAAATTAGAAATTTTCATAACTTAGAAATTTTCTAAGTTATGAAATTTTTCAATCTTAAACCCTAATTTCCAAAATTAGGTTTCTTGGTGAACAAGTTTCATGTTTTGACACATCTTGATGAAAAATGACCCTTGGCACTTGATTTTGACCAAAAAGTCAAAGTTTGACTTTTCAGTGTACAGTTGATTTTTGATCAGTTGACTGGAAAATTCATCTGTCAATCCAATGCATTTGAGATCTTTTGAACCTTGTGATTAGGTCAAGATGATGCCATTGAGTCCTTGAAATCATTCTTGAACCCAATTTTCCATTGTCTAGGTGAAAAATCAGAAATTGCCCTTCTACAGTCAAAACCCTAATTTTGACCATTTTGCCCTTTTGATGATCTGATCAAATTTCTTGAGGAGTTGTGGTCCAAACTTGATCAAATGGTTCATATGAGTCTATAATGTTGTTGTGGATCAAAAATTATGAGGTTTGACTGTAAATTGGCCACAGTTGACTTTTTCCCCAATACAGTTGATTTTTAGGTCAATTGTCCAATTGATTGGGCAAAAATTTGATTCAAGGCTTGAAACTTGGTATCAGCAATCTTAGGAATCCAACATGAAGTATGAAAGTCACGTGAGGCATTTAAAGTCCAAAAATCATTGTGCAAACTCAAACCCTAATTTCAGGTCAACAGTGCAAGGAGATGTCTTAAGCTGAGCAAACCCTAATCCTGTCTGGAATTCAAAGAGTCTTGTGAGGGGAAATCTTGATAAAATGAGAGAGCAAATTTAGGGGTACAACATCTGCCCCTGTTCAATCTTTTTGAATCTAGAGAGTTAGATTGGCAAGCTTGTCGTTCGTGACTCGAAGGTAAAAGATGATTGGACACTAGAGTGCCCGTAAATTTGCACTCGTCAAAGTGTAGTTGAGGGAATGGGCTTAAAGATGCCATTTGGAGATGTGATAGAATCTTGTTGGAGATGGGCTTAAAGATGTTGTTGTACCCCAAAATTTGCCCTCCCATATTCTTCAAGATTTCCCAAGATCAATCTCCAGATGGTTCAAAATCTCTCAAGAGTTGCACAGTCCAATTGCCTCCTAACACAGTCAAAATTAGGGTTTTGGTTCTGGAAAAGAAATTGAGATTTTCAAGGGTCCAATCAAGTCCCATA